AACCATAATAGAAACTAGCTTAGTCTCATTTAAAATAAGTATGTAAATTTAGATGATAATAATAAAGATATTTGTGGTGGGAAAATAAAGTATTTGGCACAACTGTATCCAATATTATTTTATTTTACCATATATGCTTATATGTTAGATTCAAGGATAATATATTAGAAGCCCGATCCCACTAATTAGGATTCTTTTGACGCAAAAGTTAACCACGTTGACTCCATCTTCTTTTTCATAAATGAAAATCCTGCTTAAGTTTGAACTTTGGTTAAAGTACAGAACCTAATTTTCTCGATTATCTTAATAGTCTCTTTCCAACAATGATTAAAATGGTATAGACCCTTTTGTTTCGTGAATGGGGGGTAAAAGAGGAGTAAGAGAAGTAAAAAATAAAATAAAATACATATAATATGTGATATGATAAAAGATGTAAAAAATAAAAATAAAAAAGAAAGTGAAATAAGTTATAAAAGGGTGCGAAGTATGTTTATAGTTACCAAACAATTAGAAGAAATAAAAGTAAGAGGAAGTGTTTATTGTAACATTATGTTTTAATTATTTTTTTTAGTGATAGTTATTTATCTATATGGAGTTGAGGTGTGTTGCAGGATTATGAGAATTGAAGAATTCTCGAGAATCTAGTTAGTTTTGGAGGTCTCGAGTTAGATGTCCAATTGACCCAAAAGAAGGAAAGTATATAAATTATTTTTATTAGAATTGAGCTTCATAAGTTCATATCTTTCAAAATCTTAAAGAGAAGAAATTCTAGAGGAGTGGATTCAAGTTCATGATTTCCTTCTTTTCTCCTCTCCCTCCTAGATTCCTCTAGTGCATGAGGAGTGTGATTGGGTGGTGGATTCAAAGCTTGTAGCTAAAGATTCGAGGCATTATGGTGTAGAGCTCTATGAATTCGAAAGCTTGGAGCTAATTCTTCCTTCTACCTCTTCTCCGTTCTTGGTAGGCTCAAAATCGAGGTAAAGAAAATTAGAACTTGATTGTTAGTAGAATTTGGTTGAATGCTTGTTGATATGCTTAATTTGGAGTGCATGTTGGATTTTGAAGAACTTGGTGTCCTTGGTGAAAAAGGAAAATTTGACGATCTAATTGGTGTGTTGTTGTTACATTTTGATTTTCTTCAAAATTTTAGTTTTATGTTGCTAATAGGTGACAAATATTGAATTGCATGCATGAACTACTAGTAAAATGAGAAAATTTTGGAGATTTGATGGTGTTCATAGTTGTTAGGTTTGTTTTTCATGTAGGTAGGACTTTTTGGGTTTGTGACACTAAATGTGAGCCACACACTTTTCGTGGAGATTGGGGGATGCCTTTGAAAGGTTTGCATTCGGCGTGAGTTTCCATGCTTAATGTGAAAACTCACACTTTTCATAAAATAGTGAAGTAACAACGTTACAATAAAGGGTTTAGATGAAAAGTTAAATAGTAAGAAGACAAGATATTTTTATACTGATTTGTTTTAACCATCAAGACTTCGTTCAGTTTTGATCCAATCAAATCAAGTTTCACTATCTTATCCAAGATACAAGTATTCTTTACCAAGTCATTTTTAGTTCAATCCCAAGTATTTTTTGACTAACCTCTTTAAGTAACAATCCAAGTGTTCGTTTCACACAAAGCCTCTTCAAGCTTCAACACCAAGTATTCTTTTCACACAAAGCCTCTTCAAGCTTCAACATCAAGTATTCTTTTATAGAAAAACCTATTTGGGCTTAACACCAAATATTCTTTTACAGACAAGCCTCTTCAGGTTTAACACCAAATATTCTTTTACAGACAAGTCTTTCTAAGCTCAAATCCAATAACTCAAAGTTGCAAAGGTTTACAAAGTTGTTTCATCTTTCCTTTAAGACATGATACAACAAATTATGTACAAAGACTTTTTACATAAAAAAAATATATATAGCTTTTTACAATCAATGATCTCTCTCTCTCTGAGTTTCAAACTTCCTTTTATATGACTTAAGTGAGGATGTCCATTGCAAATCCTTGAGTTTTTCTCTCATGACTTGCTTTATCTATCTTTTTGTTTTGCTTCTCGAGGATAAAAGTGTTTGTTGGTGTAATAAATGATTACATTAAATATTTTTATCAAATTGACACTTTTCATCTAATCAAATAAACTACTTATGGCTTTTCAGGTATCAAATGGGTAGAATCATGTGTGTGTTAGGTTGACATAGTTTTAAAACAATGTTTAACTACAATTTTCTTGTGTTTGCAAATATCTGTTTGTCATTTTCTGATGTAAAACATGTCTTTCTTTCCTTTTTGTAAAGTGTAGGTACCAATGAAATATTTTTGAATTTGATTTGTTACAAAAACATTTAGACATAATCACTTCCTTTTTAAAGATCATAAATGATAAATATTAAATGCATATATCTTTTTAGAAATAAAATTTTGTCTTACTACAACTTTTATCTTAGTATAATTTTTGTTTTATACAAAAATTTGTCTTATGAAAAAATTGTGCCTTAGAAAATTCTTTTTAGTCATATTCGAAAACTTATTCTATTGATCAAAAACCTCTTTGTTTATTTAACAACAAAACTTTAAACTATAGAAATTTAGGATTATTTTTTGACTTAACAAGTACATATCCAAATATTTATGATTGTATGACTTTAAGTAATAATAATTTCGCTACTAGTTGAAGATTCCATGAAATGTAACAATAACAAAAAACATAAAAATAAAGTGGTTGGATATGTATGTAATTTTTGAGAAAATGTGTTTTGTGTCTAAATACTTTCACTTAAATGTGGTTAAAGTCTTTATATTTTTATTTGGATGAATTTGATGTTTAAATTTTAAAAAATATATTAATTGATTTCTCATTTTTAAGAATCTATCGTATTTTTCTTCTTCTTAAATTATGAGTAATTATGTAACGAAACAAATTATTTGTAACCAAATAGACATTTTTTTTAAATATTTGATGAACACGTTTATTAACATGAAAGTACATGGATCTTGATCACATTTGAAAAAAAAAAAAAAAATTTCTTATTTATTTTTGTTGTCTCTGCTTCCAAAAAAAGAAAAAAAAAATGTATGATGGATTGTAGACCGAGTTTAGGAGCAATGACATTATTATTATTTTTTTCTTTCCATTTTTACCAGATTTTATCAAAATTGGGAGAAACTTGCAGAAATTTTACCTCACCCTTTTTTTTAGAAAAAAAATAAGAAAGATTATAAAAATGGTAAATCTCACTCTTTTAAGAATTAATTTCATTATATATTTAAAACAAATCATTATTATATCATTAATGATGTTTTAATTAAAATAATATAATGAAATTAATAATTAGTAAATATCTTAAAAGCAAAATCTTATAAATTTAAATCATACTTAAGTCAAATGTATAATTTTAACTTTATTTTTTTAGATTATTTTTTATTCACACTCTACCTTTATCATTAAATTATTACTATAATTTAGATTATTTAATTATTAAAATAGTTAATTTATATTTTAAGAATTATAAAAATATAAATATGTAAAATAATCTCAACACTGATATTATATAAACTTAAATTTTCTTTTGGTCTTTATAATTTTGTGACTATACAATTTTGAACCAAAAATTTCTTATTGCAAATGTCTCTTTAATTTTTCAAAATTTAGCATTATTAGTCTACTTGTTAACATATCATCTAAAATAAATAAAAAATACTAATGTGCTTGTGTATAACATTGTCTAATAGTTATTTGGCTTCGTAAACTAAAGAACAACATTTCTTTTTACAACGTATGTATATATTACATCTCTTTTTATTTCAATTGAAATTTATAAGATATGAAAATAGTTTTCTTAAATTTTCCATACTATTATTTTTCTGTGTCTAATTAACTGATAGTATTATCCACACATATGCTAATATTTTTTGCTTAATTATAAATGACATGATAATGAGTGAACTAATATTCCTTAATTTTAAAAATTATGAAACCAAATTTGCAATAAAAATTTTGAAGAGACCAAAGTTGCATCAACAACAAAATAATAAAGATAAAAAATTGAATATCAGCTTGTCATGTATATCATGTTTGCTCTAGAGTTATGAGTTCACTTTTACAAATGGAAGAAAACTCAAATCCTAATATAATCAAAGAAGTTTTTTTTTTTTCAAAGTTAGGTCAAAATCAAATAGTTACTCACATATTTGAATTTAATTATTATACCCTTCACTTATAAGTTAGTGATTATTATATCTTGCTGAGTAATATCTCAAATTATTTGTCACATTCACATTTAGCTACCAGTAAAAGAGATTTGATGCATTTTTTTGTTAATTTTACTTAAAAGTCACATTTATATATAAAGTATTTATTTTTTCATTATAAAATTAACTTATATATAATTATATTTATTTTAACGTTTAAAAGAATCAAATAACTATTAAAGTCAATGATGCAAGAGAAATGAATTGACGTTAAGATATATAAAAAAAACATGTGTTAATTGATAAATAACTACACATTACACAAGAGATCACATTACCTAAATAGATATTCATCTCAAATTTGACATCACAAGCTAATGTTATAAAATATTACTCATCTCTTAGGTATACAATTTAACACTTCATTATCTTACCATTTTCTCATGTATCATTACCTAGATGAGTCATTCCTTCCGGTGATCAAATACATATTTACTAAAGAGGTGTAATTCAATTAGTTAAATACTATATACTATAATTTTTTGTAAAAAATAAATAAATTTAATACTAAAAATTTGTATATAATAGGTAAAAGAAGAATAAAAAGAATGCATATTTAAAAGCTCAATTAAATTGACAACACTCTTGTAATTTTTATGGTGAATAATGAATTAAACATGGTAAATTAGTGGTGTAGCGTTGAATTGGTAAATTGAAATTCCCTAAAGTAATTTAATTTATACCAAAAGTGGAGAAGGTAATTAAAGAGGAGAGGGAGAGGGGTTAGAAGAAAGTGTTGTCCTGATTCCTGAAGCAGAGGGTACAAAACATAAACATAATAACAGTGAGAAAGGTGCAAAGCAAAGAGAAGAAGGGATGAGAAGAGAGAAGCTTGCATGTTAAGGGAGATGGATATCAATCAATAATATTTACTGCCCTTTGCCGGGATTGCCGCTGCCGGATTCAGTGTCGGCTCCCATTTCTCACTCACTCACTCACTGCTCACTGTTTACTGCAACTCTCTCTCTCTCTCTCGCTCTCTCTAGAAACCTTACCTTTGTTTGTTATTCACAAAGAAAGAAGAAGCCAACAACACCCAGAGCTACCTACTACTACTCCTCTTGTGTCTGTGTTGTCATGCTCTTCCTCACTCCACATAATACCTTTGTTTAACCATTCTCTCTCCAATTTTTATTTTTTTTATTTTTTTATTTTTAATTTTTTATTTCAGCCCCCATCGTCATATCATATTAATACTATCTTTCTCTTTTTCTATTTGTTTTTCCAAATTTAAAAATTTCCCCTTTCCCTCTGTTGAACAAGCCGAGAGAGAGAGAGAGAGAGAGAGAGAGGGAGAGAGAGTAGGTAGAGCCTCGGATACAGAAGAAAGGAAAGCGATACAGATTTGCCATCGAAGAAAGGAAACAGCACACACCACCCTTGCGGATTCTGGTAAGACTGGTTCGATTTTGTTATTTATTTATTTGGGGTTGGGGGGTTGTGTTATTATATGTTGGAAAGTTGAAGACTTTTTGTAGAGAGAGAAATGTAAATGTGTTGGGTGTGTGGGTGTGTGTGTGCAGACATTTGATGCTAATGGATGGATCTTTGGGTCAGCGGTGGTAAGAGATGGGCATAGTGTGGTTTGGGTTCTTGTTGCTGTTGCTGAGTCAGGTGACATTGGAGCAGATTGAGCCACTGAGTTCCCCTAAGGAGCGAGAATCGTTGCTCCAACTAAGGGCTTCTCTGGGGTTGAGGAGCAAGGAGTGGCCAAGAAAGCCAGACCCTTGTTTAATCTGGCTTGGAATCACATGCCAGAATGGTAGAGTCGTTGGGATCAATATCTCTGGGTTTAGAAGAACACGAATTGGGAGGAGAAAGCCGGAGTTTGCAGTGGATGCCTTGGCCAATTTCACTCTTTTGGAGTCCTTCAATGCCTCCAATTTCCTCCTTCCAGGGCCTATTCCTGATTGGTTTGGTATCTCCCTTGTTTCCCTCAGAGTGCTTGATCTTCGTTCTTGCTCCATTGTTAGTTCTATTCCTTCCTCTCTTGGCAATTTAACCAACCTCACTGCTCTCTATCTTTCCAACAACAACCTCACTGGGAACGTTCCTGAGAGTTTTGGTCAACTCTCGGCCCTTTTGGTTCTTGATCTTTCCAGGAATTCTCTTTCTGGCTTCATACCAATGGCTTTTGCCTCTCTTGGGAATCTTTCTTCCCTTGACATGTCTGCCAATTCTTTGTCGGGGCCGATTCCCACCGGTGTAGGGACTCTTTCCAGGTTGCGCTACTTGAATCTTTCCAACAATGGTCTTGCTTCTTTGCCTGCCAGATTGGGGGGTCTCACTAGCTTGGTTGACCTTGATCTTAGTGAGAATTCTTTCTCTGGCAGCAGACTGCCTCAGGGTTTGACCGGTTTGAGGAACTTGCGCCAGCTGATTCTTGCAAACAGCATGCTCGCCGGAGTTCTGCCGGCAAGATTGTTTAATGATTCATTGCAGTTGCAGTTTGTGATGCTGAGGCAAAACAACTTTAGTGGTTCTTTGCCTGCTGAGTTGTTGTCTCTGCCAAGATTGACCTTCCTTGATGTGTCTGCAAATAACTTCACTGGTATGCTTCCTAATTTGAGTTCCTCTGCTAATGCTACCGTGGCAGAGCTCAATGTTTCTCATAATAAGTTCTATGGAGGCCTTACTCCTGCGCTCAGAAGGTTTGGTTTTGTTGATCTTTCAAACAATTATTTTGAGGGCAAGGTTCTGGATTTTATGGGCAACGTATCTGTAAGTAGCAACTGCCTCCAGAACGCGACAAATCAGCGGTCAACTGAGGAATGTGCATCATTTTATGCGGAGAGGGGGCTCAGTTTTGACAATTTTGGACGCCCAAATACAACAAAACCGTCTGCGTCGTCAAAAGATTCTGGGATGAGCAATAAAACTAAGATTATATTGGCTGCAGTCTTGGGTGGAGTGGGTTTAATTGCTATTTTGGTGTTGCTACTGGTACTGTTGCTTCTGTGTGCTCGGAGGAGGGGTACTTCAAATCAAAGAGGAAATGGTGTGGGTCCTGCTCCTGTTGGCAGCAGTCCTCCAAATCCTGGCGTATCAATTGACTTTCCAAGTGTAGGAGACTCGTTTACATATCATCAGTTGCTCCAGGCAACAGAAGATTTCAATGAGGCAAATCTTATCAAACATGGCCACACCGGGGATTTCTTTAATGGTGTTTTGGAAGGTGGGGTTTCTGTCGTCATCAAAAGGATTGACATGCGAGCAGCTAAAAAGGAGGCTTACCTGTCGGAATTGGACTTTTTCAATAAGGTTTCTCATCAAAGATTTGTTCCCTTGTTAGGTCACTGCTTAGAAAATGAGAATGAGAAGTTCCTGGTTTATAAACGCATGCCAAATGGGGACTTGTCTAATAGCTTGTACTACAAAAACACTACATCTGAAGATGGTACTTTGCAATCACTGGATTGGATAACTAGGTTAAAAATTGCTACCGGAGCAGCCGAGGCCCTAACATATCTGCATCATGAATGTATTCCGCCCATTGTTCACAGGTACTTCCAGATTTCCCTCTTGCTAGGTTATTATTTTTATTTCCCTTTTGATTGCTTTAACTAGCCATTGTATTAACTATTATGAAACCTGATGCCGTACCTGATTTTATAAACTTTTAACTCCCAACAGCTCATTCCTACTTCATCCCTGGATGAATCTTTGTGAAGGGTACAAACCTTCTGGAGTGATGCTCATTATAGTTTATATCAATCGGTTTGAAATAATACGGCCAAAAATACCGTTTCCCATACCTTTTAGGTCATTAAATGTGAATGGTACTGTCATAAATATTGCCTTTTGTTTCTATATCTTTTAGGTGACTAAATATAAATTTCCCTTGTGTCTGGAATTTGTCGTTTATCGGTTTTATTAAGTGCGAGTAAGTGTTTTCCATATAATGGAGCTGTGAAAGGTTGGGAAAAAGTCAAACTTGTCATGCATTTTCCCTTTAACCGTTTGAGGCATCACAGCCCTGCATGGGATAAATGAGTTACAAGTTTGCATGACAAAAGTTCAAGCTAAAAGCTTAAATACTAGAAGTGACATGCCTATTTCCTGATTATTGTAGAGATGTTCAAGCAAGCAGTATACTACTAGACGACAAATATGAAGTTCGGTTAGGGAGTCTAAGTGAAGCTTGTGCTCAAGAAGGCGATATTCATCAAAGTAAAATCACCCGGTTTTTGCGATTGCCTCAGTAAGTACTTTGCTAAAAATGTACTCAATGAATCTCATGAAAATTATGTTTAACAGGTCAATGCATTATCATTATGCATGAAACTAATGCTTTTGGAGTTATTTATCTATTTTAAGCCTGTCATGCTGTCCTTTTTTATGTGGATGTTTTCAAATCATAGATGTTACTCATCTGGTTTTGGTAATCACTTCATCAAACTTGCATAATTGACATTTTTGTTCTCTGCAACTATGAAATCCCTTTCTTACCCTGTTTTTCTTTTCTTTCACATGTTTTACCACTGTCATTAATTTGTGGTTCAGTTGCATTATGAGTTTTCAACAAGTTTTGCATTCCTTATTTACAAATGCATATTGGTTGTCATAAATTTATCTAATTTCTTGTTTCTATTTTTTTAATGTGCAGGTCCTCTGAACAAGGCACATCTGGTAAGTAGAAACTCAATTTTAGTTTTGGTTTGGATTTGTAGTCAGTTCTATCCTTGATTGCATGTCTTTATCAAGTTATCATTCATACTGTGCCTCTTACACATTTCCTGCATGCTAGGAAAATGCTCTGTCCCCTACCCAATGCCCTGTAGGATTGATTCTGACTATAAGATGTTTTGAACACAAAATAAGCTATTTTGGCCATGGTGTGAGGGACTCTAGGAGCACACAATTTTATGCAGCAGAATTTGTTGTCTACTAGTTAATATATATGGTGTTCTTATGGACTAACAACCTATCACTGAGGCGTGGACGTGGATCTGACCGTAAATATGGGATTTTAGTAGTCTTGGAAAACCTTCTGGGCATCATCTAGAGTGGAATTGTGGAAAGGGAACACTATTTTGTCTTTACAACTTCGTTCTAGTAATTTTGTGCTAGCAAAATGCATTTTCATAAAAGGCAGTAGGAAGTCGTTCTGTTTATCTAGAATTATAAGATACACTTCATTTTGAAGTAGTTAAGAGTCAAGATATATGTGGGGTGATTGTACATGTACTGGTTCATGTTGGCTTGAAAAGTTCTAATGTTACATTCATGCAAAGAACTCGTAGAGTCATAGAAGTTTGGGTGGTTATGTTTGTCTTTCTTGAATCATTTGTGTTAGGTGGTTGATCTTGTGGTTTATTTTCTGTGCTAATGTTAATTGCATTTTCCTCTTTACTGGCTTGAGGTGTGCATTAATCCCGAGAAATAGATAGAGCTAGGCAGAGAAATATTTCTTTCAATCTATTATTTTGACACAAATTTCATTTAATGTCAAACAGGTGCATTGACATCAAATTGTGCCTATGACGTTTATTGCTTTGGGAAAGTTTTGCTTGAGCTGGTGACTGGTAAGCTGGGAATGAGTGCAACCAGCGATGCCGAAGCAAAGGAATGGTTCGAACAGGTTCTACCTTGCATTAGCATGTATGACAAGGAGCCTGTGACAAAGATTGTTGATCCATCGATGGTTGTTGATGAGGATTTCTTAGAGGAAGTATGGGCTATAGCCATTGTTGCCAGGTCTTGCCTAAATCCCAAACCTTCAAGAAGACCCCCAATGAGATATATTCTCAAGGCTTTAGAAAACCCTTTAAAAGTTGTGAGGGAAGAAAGTTCCAGCTCTGCGCGGCTTAGAGCAACCTCTTCCAGAGGCTCTTGGAATGCTACTTTGTTTGGTAGTTGGCGTCAGAGCTCGTCGGATGTAACAGCAGTGCCAGCAGCCTCTGGTACAAAACTAGAAAGAGCTAGTAGTTTGAAGCTGTCGGGAACTACCGGCTCGCAGTCACAGGGTAGCCTACACAATGGTGGTGATGTTTCGTCATCGCGGAGACGGCATTCAAAGGAGATATTCCCAGAACCATCTGGCGTACATGATGTAGAGAAGTTGGAGCTGGAATAGAGTTAGTCATAAATTTAATTCATTTGGTAATGAGACTGCCCCTTTCTTATTCTTCTTCACCTCTTGTTTGATTGGTTGGACATTTGGAACTGGAAAGTGTTCAAAGTACATGTGAGTAGTAGACACAAGTGGCTCTCAATTCCTATGATGAAACCTTTCAAAGGGGGGGTGATTGTATTTCTTCTTTTCAGTGATTTTGGACACAAACCGATGATGGAGTGGAGAGATAGATATAGAGAGCAACAAGGCCAAGTGCTATGGTAGATATGGAGATACTTTGACTGCTTGTTTTGGACAGAAACAAGCCCCATTTTTTTCACCTGTAATTGATTTTTTTACCCTTTGTCTCGATTCCTCTAATGGAATGTAAAGTTTAATGTGTAAGATTTCTTCATTCAGATCACATTTGTTTTTATTCTAGAAAAATGGGGACAGCGTCAAAATTTGAAAGAATGAAAAGAAAACAGGTTATACTGATTCTTTCGCCCCGAATGAGTTTGTTAGCTTTGGAATTAAGGGTAGTGATCCTAACTTCGTTCAATATTTTTCGTATGCATGTGATTTATCTCCTCAATCTCATTTTATTTTGTCGATGGTGATGTACACATATTTTATAAATAGTGGGTTATACTATATTTTCTATTATAAAATAATTTAAATAAAATATCATTATTGGTTAAGTAGATAAGAAAATGAACTAATTAATGTATTGTAGATTGAAATATCGACACATAAAATTATGGCTTAAAAATTTGTAATTAAACTTTATTGATACTTAAAAATTGAAAAAAAAATTATGATAAAAGTATTTCAAAAATGACAAACACAGGTATTGATTGGTTGATCTAATTTATTTAATAAGTAAATCATATTTAGTCTTTTTCATTTATTTAAATAGATTGAATTTAGACTTAATTTTTTTTAAAGATTGATAGATTGACCTATTTATATGTAATATATATATATATATATATATATATATATTATTAACAATATAATTAAAAAGATAAATTTGTAACACAATAAATCAATTTATTAATATTTTTTACATTCTTACTAAATTAAATGTTTTACATTCTTTGTTCAAATAAAATCAAGAAATAAGAAATAAAAAATTTAATAGTTACATCTTTGTCTGTTCCTTTTCTTTATTTTCATGATTATTTATTTAAAATATTTGAAATGAGATATAGAAATATTTAATTTTTTTTATAAAATTATATAAGTGTGCATGAGTTGTCTCTCTTATGTTATTTTTTTTAAAATTTTAATAATAATAAAGTAAATTATTTTGTTATCACAAAAAAAAAAAAAAAGACTTGCACGTGTATTTAAAAATATATTTGTTGATTTATTTAAAATTAAAATTTTCTAGTCTAATGTAAAATAAGTTTTTAAATAGTCTACTAAACAAAACCAAATTTTTAAAAAGGTGAAACTAGACCTAGAAAAAAATTTATGATAAATAATAGATTAGACTTATACTTTATTTTTATAGAATAAGTTCAGTCTATATATTTAAAGTTTAGCCTAACATATTTTCATCCTTAACAATGAAACATTGAAAGTGGTAATTAGGATATAATTAAGTGAGTTAATTTGTTTGGATTTGTTTAAATTATTTATCTACATGAATTGCTTAAATTGTTTATCTACATGAATTTTCTTAAGAATAAATCATTTATGATACTAGATAACGTCAAACATCAATATTTTAAATGATATAATAAATTTTCAATATTTTTTTATTGTATTTGAAAATTTACCTTAGATGATTAATTTATTTTCTAAGGTTATAAAATTAAGAGACTTAGTTATTGCCAATAACATGACACTCATATTTAGTAGAGAGAGTTTCTGTGAGGGGTCTCTTTCTTCTTTCCTTTTTCCTCTTTGATTGAGATTTTCTTCTTCTCCTCCTTCTTTCTTTCTTTAGTTGATTGGAGTGGTTGTGTTGTAGAGTAGAACTCAAGCGGAACCGTACAAAGAGGTAAAGAAAACTTACATTGGGTGTGGGTTGAACGACGTCAAGTGTGAGGAGAGAGACCTGCCTTTGCTTGGATTTACATCAGATGCTAATGGATGTGGTGTCGGGTGTGAGTAGGTAGAGAACCATTGTTAGATTTGGGTCAGATGTGGGTCTTGTCATGACAGTCGAGAAAGAGAGGGGCACTCTTTGTCTCAATCATGTCGAGCACGAGCAATGTGATGCTAGGTGTGGACAAGTGGGAGCCCCTATTTCGACGGCGTCAGGCGCCATTTAAGTAGTGTCGTTTTATGATAATATTGTTGATTATGAGGTATATATGATGATATACAATGATGAATATTTATGTTGTAAGATGATAGATGAATTGATGATGTTAAGCTATTAGTTGCATGTTGTATAGTTGTAAAGTTGTGGTGTTGTAGACATGTGGTTAAGATACATAAATGGTAGAGGTAAAATATGTTGTTTTAATGTTGATCTTCCTTCTAGGGCCTATGTGGTTTGAAATGAAGGTAGGTGAACCATATCTTAGTTAAATGACTAACTGAGTAAATTATGAAATTGGAGACTTGGTCTCTACCTTAGTATTGGAGGGTTGAGGTATTTGGAGGGTAGTCTGTGAGCTAATCTCAAAGAAGACTTAGTGCTGCAAGCTAATGTCGAGATAGACTCATACCCAAACTGTTTTACCTTGACATAGTATTATACTTCCTAATTTAAGTGACAAAATCTAAGAAATCAAACTAAGTTGTTTATACTTGGCTCTTTTTGAGGCTTAATGTTGTCCTATATCTAACCTGACTGAGATAAGTTTAACTTTATGGTTCGGTAGGGTTAAGTCACTTAAACCGCTCATGTTTTGTTGTAAGAAATTTCTTTAGTTGACATGTGTGATGACGTATTAGTTCTTAATATTTTTATACTGAGATGTGATTATAATAAAATTGATAAATATTGAGCAAGTTGTTAAGTTGTGAGTTGTGTTATTGTCGATAGATGCTTTTGTTGCCTTCATTGTATTGTTGTATGTTGTTTCTTTTGTAATCTTAACTTTTTTCGCCTTGTAATTGGGACTATGATGACCATATTTGGTATATAAGTAGGACAAGGTTAAATGATCAGCTGGATTGATGGTAGCGAGTCACACCGGAGGTGACTTGTTTTGTATAACTCTTCTGGTGGAGTCATGTTTGGAGTCCTCGCGACCGTCTAGAGGATCTTTTGTAGTAATTTAGTCTTCGATGTATGTAGTTTATGTACCAAATTTATATATGTTGTATATATTCCATACATTTATTTTATGCATGTTTAGTTTTCGCTTTAACATTGATTTTCAATAATAAATGTTGTGACTTGTCAAGTTGTTACAAATAATATTAAAAATAATGATAAAAAATTTAAAAAGAATAAAATGAAACATATTCATTATCTAAAAATGTTGTATTTTAAAATAAGAAAGAAAATTTTGTTTAAATATCTCATTAAAAAAATGTAATTCCTGAATTTATAAAACTAATAATTAATATTCAAAATTAATTGCCAATCATATTGAAAAGAAAAAAAAAAGAGAGAGAACATTTTAAATATATTAAAACATAACATTTATTCATTCATCTTAAACAAACGTGCATTTTAAAATTGGTAGAGAAAAAAAGAATAATTTAAAAAGAAAAATATAATTTTTTAAATAATATATAAAGCAAGCATTTAAAAAATGCAGGTATGATTTTAAACCTCTTTCAGAAAAGAGAACGAGAATGCAATTTCCTCCATTATATTTATAATGTGAAGCAAGATGCATTTAAAAAATGTAGTTGGTCTACCATTTTAAATGTGTCTCAGAAAATAGAGAAATGTAATTTCCTCAATTATTATAATTTTCTCAATCTTACTTGTAATGTAAATAAAAGCAAGTATTTAATTTAAAAAATGTAGTTGGTCTGCGGCAAAATCTAAGGTCCCACCGAGATTTGAACTCGGGTTACTGGATTCAGAGTCCAATGTCCTGACCACTAGACCATGGGACCATGTCATGTTAAATAGTTCTCTCAATTTTTATATATTCTATACACCTTCCTTTTTATTTGTAGAAATAACAATTTTTTAATACTTTAATTTAAGTAGCGTGGAAAATTAACCATCTATAAATGGGCAGTGATTTACAAATGGGCTTTCATTTAAGAAGATTGATAATGCCAATTGGCAATTATTTTGAATTTTCTTCTTTGACAATTTGTGGTGAGTTGGGTTTATCAACTGTAAATAGCAAACAATGGAATTGGAAGCCCTATATGTGAAGGGTGGAATGAAAGCATAAAGCCCATCTAAACAAAAATATGATCACTCTGAAATTGAACCAGATTGCAAGGAAAACAGGTTTTAATATCAAAATTTTAAATATGCTTATTTCTGATATTTTTTAATTAATATATATATATAAAAATAAATAAACTTACTAATATATATATATATATATATATAATATAGGTTTATGATTAGATAAAAACTCTTTAAAATATGTATGGATAAACTATTAAAATACAAATTAATCATATCATTCATTAAAAGTAAAATATAAAATTATTAGATAACAAAAATTTAACAATAATTTTATAACTTAAAAAGTTTGAAAAAAAATTAAAGATTAACGATTTATTAGATTAAATACTTAAATATATTTTAGTGTATATAAATTAGAAAGTTTTTTACTTTTTATAATTACTTTTTATTTTCATTCCTCAAAATATAAAATCATTATTTTTTAGTCTTACTTATGTATGAAACTCATTAATTAATTGACTTTAGCTAGAATTTATGCAACTATTTCAAGTGGTATCTACTAGATGTAATATCATGTTATTATGTTTAGGAGAAACAAATTTATCTTCTCAAGAGAATTTAACTCTTCCTTACTTGCCAAGAAGAATATAGTTGTTGATCAGATTGAACATGCAAAGTTGGAACAAGGATTAGTCTTTCTAATACAACACAAGGTAGCAATGGATAACTCTACGAAACCTCCCCTTTGTCATCCTTGGGTTAACGTTTATTATGGTGGTGCGATCTCTAACCTGACTCACAAAGCGGCTTGTAGTGATTTACTCTTACATGGATCAAGTCTCTTTACGGGAGGTTTCTCTCGTCCTCTGGAATTAACTTCTGTTATACAAGCAAAATTATGGACGATTTTATAGGGCCTTAGGTTGGCTCTAGCTAAAAGATTTACTCACATAACTATTTTCTCAAACTCTGTTCAAGTTCTTAATTTAATTGATCAAGTGACTCAACTCAGAGAATCTAATCCTCATTTGATTGATAAAGTGACTTAACTCAAAGAATCTAATCCTTTGTTAGAATCCATTATCTCTCACATTGGAATGGTTCACGTAGTAAAGTAGAACCATATAAGTAGAATCAAAATCATGATTGTTGACTCTTTTGCAATATACAATCTCTCTCTTGAGGATGATATTTGTATTTTCAAGTC